GCAAACGAGTTCTCGTTGGCCGGTTAATGTATTTAAAAGTTTCATACCGATGCAAGTGTTAATTGTTATATTAAACAATTAGATATTGGAAATGTTCCAATTTATCTCACATGTCTATTTTTTTCACCTGTTGAAACTGATAAATACTTGATACAAGATCAGTTCCTCTATACTCTGTGATGTAACTTTATCAGGTCAAGTTACAACTTATAAACACTTCTGATAATGTCTATGTAAATACAATATAATTTGTGGAAGAATTATTACAGGCCGGCTGGCGCCGCTTGTGAATGTATGTATGTAGGTACATAAGTAGGTAATGATTCTATTAATATCCTGATTAACTCCCGGCTAAAAATATTTGTAATATTTTTATTTAAAAGGTAAGTTTAATAATATTATCTGTTATTATTTAATAAGCAATCCCTTAACATTCATTTTCTATTACAATATTTAGTTTATAATGTTAGCGAAAGGTAGTAGGTTCGAATCCCATCCCGGGGGCACCTGGGGGGCTGGTGGACTTTATTTCAGCATTTTCATTAAAAATAGCATTTTGCAAAATTGTTCAAATATAAAACAATATTAAGTTATTTTTATCTATTTCGACATTTAGGCTGCAGTGTGTCACCTCTGTTAATTTTATCACTCATGCGAAAAGTCATCGAGTTGGCTGGAAGAGATCGCTTTCAAAGATAAATAAATTATGGAAAAATATTCCATAGTATGGCACGGCGGCTTTAGCTACTCATCTTGGAATCTGAGCACTGTATGTAATGTTATTAAATATTTATTTATAACTCATCAATATTAATATACCCAATTAATAGTAGGTCCTACTTAATCTTTCTTTTTTTATGTAACTGTCCAGTCTAATTTTTATTTGCCTGGAAAATATTGCTTTTTAGCAATAAGGCCGCCAATTGTACTGTTTATTGTTATTACTTGTTATGTTGATATTTCTTTTCAAGTACAATAAAGTGTTCATTCATTCATAAATTCATTCTTTCATCAGCATCAGACCATGAACTTCTCCACTGCTGGGGCATAAACCTTTCTAATTAAGGATGGAATCATATTTTGACACTTTCAGTGCTCTTACGTATAAGTATTATGAGTAGCTTTCCGCCAGCGGCTTCGCCCGCGTGCGCCGGTATTATACATATAAAGCTTCCTTTTAAATCTCTATAGAATGATGTAAACCGCGTTAGTATCCGTTATATAGTCTAAAAGATCTCAGCGTACAGACGGTGGGAAGCGACATTGTATTTATATTGCGTATCTAGATAATATTCTTCTTTTTAGCCGACTTCAAAATCGAATTTCGGAAGAGGTCATGTATTCGACGGCGATGTATGTTTTTTTATGATAAATCAGCTTATGGACTCGATGTGGTCCCGTATAAATTATATCTAAATCGAATTGTAACAGTTTTGCTTTTATATTATAACAAAACAAAAAAATGCTTTACTTAGATTGCATGTTTATATCAACGAAGAAACAAAAGATAGCGTATTTGCATACATTCGGGAACTTTTATGTTTAGCGCAGCTATCAAACTACATAGCTGTTTTCCCTCGACTTCCCCACATAAATTATAGCCTATTATCTTCACGTATGACGTAGCTTCCATAAGCCGTAGGTGAATTAATTTTTAAAATCGATCGAGTATTTATTTATTCAACAAAGTTTCAACAGCAGTTTTGTTATTTCTATACAAAAATAAGTATGCAGCACTGACGCCAATTATAGAAACTTATTATGTTTACAAATCTTATTAATTATTTAATCATAATAATGAGGGCAGCTAACAAAGAAAAAGTAAGCATTAGACATATATATATATAAATTATATCGCACGACAAATATGGTGTATTTATGTGTGTGTGTGTATGGATAAGTTTATGTGTTTAAGTAAAGTATGAGAAGATTAGGTTTGGAGCTTATTTAAAACAAACAAACAATTAATTAATTATGTTCTAATTATCTAGAGTAGAATGAATTCATCATCATCAGCCCTTTTACGTCCCCACTGCAGGGACTCAGGCCTTCCTTATGGATGGTTAAGGAGGATGGGCCATGACCCTCCATGCTGGCCCAATGCGGATTGGAGTGTATTAACGACTGCAAATGCACCCGGAACCGAGGGCTTAACGTGCCTTCCGAAGCACGGAAGAATGAATTCATTAGAATAGAATTAGACATATTTTTTATTTATAGATATTTAATATTTTTTGTGTTACCTATACAAATAAATATTAATATCACTACATATATATTTTTTGTATAGAACCGACTCAAAACTTTAAAAGAAAATAATAAACAATTCTTATCTTACAAGCAACTTTATTATTTAAAAAAACTGCTTATTGATTTCTTATATTTTAATCCATAAATGAAACAATCTAGGTGGTTAGTCAAAATGTGTGCAATTTCAGAAAAAAAAACCTTTTTAATAAATTAGCAATATCCTCGGAATCTTCAATTTAATTTCCCTGACAGTCCTCAACATATAAAAGAGCCGCGGTGGATCTACACCTGGTTTTCCTTCGTATTTGTTCACTGACTACTTGTGTTCCAGATTCCTTTAATTTTTTTCTTGGAAGATTGAATTCTATGAGAGTATTGTATTTTTTTGCCCCAGTCATAATTTTTTTTTAGTATCTTTTTTTATTTTTATTTGTGTTTCATTCAACATTTATCATGTCTTGTAATATTTGTACGTGTGAGTGAGGGTACCGGAGGCCCAACCCCTCCCTATTCCCTTCCCTCTATCCCTCAACCCTTCCCTCCCTATGATCATATTCGTCCCTCAAAGGCCGGCAGCGCGCTTGAAGCCCTCCTGGTGTTGCAGGTGTCCATGGGCGACGGTAATCACTTACCATCAGGTGATCCGTCTGCTCGTCTGCCGCCTATCCCATAAAAAAAAAAAATTAGATGATGTTTTAATTATTTACAGGTAGTGAGATAGGGCATGACTACATTTTGTGTAACTTTGTTGAACAAGCAATGCATTTACCCAGAAATAATCCTCTCGTTTCTTTAAGTCTGAAGCTTCGTTCTTTCGACATGATTCTATGTACGCGGGAAGAAGTTTGGATATCATTACATTTATCTTCATTGGTATATACGCGGTGTTGTTCGAGAGTACCAAATTTTTGAAAGATATTCTTTTGTGCTTAGCATAGGTAATTAACATTGGTATTATATTTTCTTGTGATTTTGTATGGGCGTCGGCCCAGTATTTTGCGTAGGGCGCCCAGTTTCATCAACGGGCGGATGCACGGATTTTGAGGCACAGTCTTAACTTTATGGGTATTATTGTTATCTCACGTAAAACTACCAATACTTCGTACTTCCCCCTATGAGATAAAATACAACACGGCTACCCATCCCCTAAAATCGTCTTAGATAGGTACGTAATGAATCGCCCCAAAGAATTATATTTTTTCAAATATTTTGCTTAAGTTAAATATCATTGTGAATGCAAAATTTATCAAATATACATATATTTGGTTATATTTGGTCTATAAGTATCATACATGTAAATGTTGCGGTATATTTGTGGGAAACCCGTCACGTTCGCGCGTCATCGACGTATTTTTTTTGTGTTTATAGAGTCGTTCTGAAACGCCTCCTAAATACTAATAAGCTTACTATTGTCATAGATGGAGTTGATTAAATGTAATCCATATATTATCATAATGTCACCCATATGTTATTTTCTAGCCTGATTAATAAATAATTTTACATTAAATGTATAGCTGCAGTTCAGACTCTAGGTTCAGATCTCAGTTCACATCGTTCGCTCGCTCCATACGATTATATGTATTTGTCTGTCCGTGCACCGATTGTTATTTAAACTTTTGTTTTCATTTCATACCTTCTGAAATTGGAATGCTGGGTGGAATTATCACAGCACAGCTACCCACACTGGTGACCCGAAGCAATTCACATAATAATGGATGAAGCTTTCACGTTGAACACACAAAGGCAGTACTCCAGGGATAGCGCTTCGGGTGATATTTATCTCTTGAGCATAAGGAATACACCATTCTATCCGGACAAGCCATCCTTATGGTTATCTCTATTAGAAGGTCAGTTTGCATTAGCCAACATCACAACTGATACAAAAAAATCTACCAAGTGACTGGTATGCTTGACCACCAAAATGCAGTCGAGTTTGCTGATATCATCGAGTCTCCACCCGAATATGACAAATATGCTAAGTTAAAAACGGCACTTATAAAACGGTTATCTGAATCAAAGCAGAGAAAGGTAAAGCAACTACTAAACCACGGTTGCGGTATACCAGAAGGTTTTGTCCACATCATCTGGACAAGTACGTTACATAGCAGCATGCAAATTGTAAACGGTCATCGCATCTCAACTTCAGCGACCAGTTAATAATACATAAATAAATAACACGTTAAAATACAATCGCGTGCGAAGCGAAACTTGCATCAACGTGAAGGTGCGAATGTTAATGGACGCATTAACGATTTATTCTCGTAGCATATTAAATAGGATAGTGTATTATTAACATAGTTTAGTTAGTTGACATTTTAAATTGTTTAGATGAAATTGATTAGATGAAATTGTTAAGTAAAAAATTTAAAGTTTAAAAAATATATAAATTGAAATATATAATTTTGAACATTATTACTTATTATAAGTAAGTTTTTATAATAAAGACGATAATGTTAATAAACATAAGGACAAATTTTAGTGGAGGGATGTAAAATTTCGTTACTTGTAGTTAACAAATGTACATAGTTCATTTACTTTTTTATTTCACATATATTAGAATAAAATATAAATAAATTATTGTTTACTATAGCACGTGCTCAGTTCAAAGATCGACATGTAATAAATAACGGGCTATAAGATTTAGAATACTGCTTGATTTAATTCATTTGTCGCGCACTCTTTTTAGTATGTATGTAGCGCGTTAATAAATTAACACGCTAAGTTTTCTTAACATTTAGTCTTCAGCGTATTAATGTATTTTCGTTGTTTTGAACAACTCGACACATCTCTATGATTGTCACCTGTCACTGGTCGATTACAGTGTTTTTGCTTGTTTGATAGTAAAAAAATATTAAATTTAATGAAACTATTGATTCATTAATGTGAGAATCAATGCTTAAGTAATAAGAAACCATGGTTATTTTTGGTGTATACATAGTGAGTAAATCCGGAGGCCTCATATATAACTATGATCACAACATTCCTAAAGTTGAAACGGAAAAAACATTTGGTTTTCCTTTGGACCTCAAATTACAATATGAAAACAAGAAAATTATCGTGGCTTTCGGACAAAGAGATGGGATAAACGGTATCTAAGACGCTTTAGTAATATAAATTATCTTTGAGATTGTTGTCGGTAACTATAGGTAAAGATAAATAAATAACTATTACTTTTAATGTTTACAGTTGGCCATGTATTACTATCAGTGAATGGAACACCAGTAAGTGGACGTACCACTGAAGATGGACGAGATGTCTTTGACCTCATAGAAGTTAAGGTAAATTAAATAAACAGTTATTTTCATGTTAATTAGCCAATATTTGTGCACTTTATTCCTTACTTATTATATTATTATTGAGGAAAATAACTTATGTTTTTCCAAATTTGAATAGGAAAATTATCCACTAAGTCTAAAGTTTGGTAGAGCTCGGGCAACAACTAATGAGAAAATTGTTCTTGCAAGTATGTTCTACCCACTCTTTGCACTTGCAAGTCAGCTCAGTCCAGTTCCTAAGTCTTCAGGGATTGAATCTCTCATTGCAGACACCTTCAAGTTATCATGTTTCCAGACATTGACAGGTAAGCAGCACTACAGTGAATTTTGAAGTAATCCATAAAATTTTGATTAAAAACAACTCAGTATGCATTTCAAATAATCTGTAATCATGTTAGCATTATGATGATATATAATAAATTTCAATTCCAGGTGTAAAATTCATAGTAGTAACAGATCCAAATATGCAAGGGGCTGAAGTGGTACTGAAACGAATTTATGAGATTTACTCTGACTATGCACTTAAGAATCCATTTTATTCCCTGGAGATGCCGATCCGCTGTGAGCTGTTCGACACCTCCTTACATACATTACTGGAACTTGTAGAGAAATCAGGGACTGCTAATTTATAATTACATTAAGTTACAAAATGTAAATACCCAAAATTTATTTAATTTTAATACATACTCATTCTTAGTAAATTATAAATTTAATATTACTGCAACTTTGCCAGTGTGGATTTTGAATTATTGTTTCTCCCTTTAACAGTAAAAGATAAAAGGTAAAAGCTTTTGTGAGCTTAGTATTTCAGTATATTGAAGTACTGAGGGTATACATCACTCAGTACCCAGTGCAGAGGTCAGGCGGTACAAAAAATTGTAACACATGTCAAAGGTGCTTTTTAATAGTTTTAAACTAGCAAAAAAATCTTATTCTTAATATAAAAAAGGAAACTATACTGCTCGGTTTGCATAATCGAGAAACAGCAAAATGGCAGAAATTGATGTGAAAATAAGCTCAAAAAAACTTTTGTAATGGTTGCAAATTACATTATTAGAAATTATTTTAATAAAAGATACTCAGACCTTGATTTAATAGAACAAGCAGTGTCAGCAATTGTTAGAAATTTGTTTCGCGCCGCCGGCCACCAGGTGTTCCAGCGCCCGACCTCTGCGCCAGGGAGTAATGTATGAATGTGTTCATCAAGCAGCGCCATTCTTGGATTTTGAAATGAATTCTTGACCTATCTCAGATTATTTATTATGAGTCCATTATGAGATAGGGACATATGAATTCACAAAACATTGACATTTTTGACATCCTGCAAATATCCACCTTTCTTACACTTATTGAGAATAAGTAGGACTCGTTATAATTATTGTTTAATGTATAGCTAAATAGAGTTTGGGTGAAAGTAAACAGCAATGTTACAATAAAAAATTTATTGATATAATCATTATTTATTTATAACAATTCAAACCGAGGCAGTTAATCCCCGCACATTCGCGCCCACCATATTAAAGTTAACATTATATAATATTACCGAACGCTCCTTTGTACTTCCTACGCACACACACACGACAGTCACACGAAGACATTATTGCCTGATATTTGGTACGCGTTTGGACCCCAGGCCAACTTTGTGCAAATTGCATCATACAAAATATTATTCTAAATTCTAAATACAGTAAAACATCAAAACGAAAAATCTTTATAAAACGTGTTAATACATAATTCTGTCACTCTGTTTTGCCATAGAAATGTATTGAATAGGTGAGCGTTCCAAGCAATGCATTTGAGTTTTGTCTTTTTTTCTCACAAAATTTCAGAACCCAGCGACTACTACCTGCTGTGGCCTACCTTAGCTTTTTTAGTTCTGACTGAAAATAAAATTATTACATTGTATATACTTCAAACAGTTTTTTTAATACTGTTTGATGAATCTTTAACAGAATATTTGCATTTTTCAAAATTGCCAAACATCAATCAAAACTAATATTTATTTGTTTCAACTGAGGGCAAATTACGTACCTAATTTTAATCTTGCCACAATTTCAAATTGGCTAGGGATAGGTAGACATGAACTAGTTCTTGTAAATAATTATATGATTAAACCTTATGTAATTATGTGTGCCCTTTTATGTAACTAGAATCTGAATTAGTAATTGTTCCAGTCTAAAGTCCAACATTCAGAAACTCAAAATTCTTTTTGCATGGGAACGCGCGCACCTCTAGTAGACGCTGTCCCGGGGTCCAAGACAAGAAGCACGTTATACTTAACAAGCTCTTTGGAGAAAGTTTATAAGTAGGTTTACTATTTCCTATAGATAGATAAATCCGGCCATCAACAAAGGCAGCGATCGTACGTACAGAGCGGCTGGCACCACTCGCCACATGTCTGGGTTGCCGTCTTGCTAGCTCTCCCCGCATTTATGCCAGTTTCAAGAGCAAATTTTAACCTACTATACGAGTTAAATTTCATTGACTGCATAGTTAAGCTCAAAAATAGAGCGCCTTTGAGCTCCTCGTTCTAATTTACAGATGGCAACCCTGGACTACAAGAGAAAAAAGTGTAATCTCAAAAAAGTATAACGGCTTTGTCGGTTCATGATCTCTCGAGAGATTCACGGCGATGATCGGTACAAAAATAGAGCCACGAGCGGTCTCCGCTACAAAATATAACATCTGCACACTATAATTAAGTCTTAATTAAGTTAAAGAAAAGACCTACATTATAATCGCCCACGGGCGGCCGCCGCGGAGGGCGGGGCCGCGGGCGCGTCGCAGTCGCATTAAAATTACCTTAAAATCTCTCTAAAACGATAAACAATATTAAGAGCACGTTATTCTAATTTAGGGAAGTAATCGATAAATAACGTTACATACGTCCGAGCCTTTATGTTCTCGTGTGTAATAATGCACTGTTGTTATTTTAAAATGATACTTTCCGCCACATTTTGTTTCTTTATATAAATAATTCAACCACTTCCGTTTGTCTTTGAACATTTTTGATACAATTAACTTTATTTATGTGGCAACACTTTTATCTATAATATGTGCCGCTGAATCGGTCCATAGTATAAATAAATGGTCGACGCTGCGATACTCTCTCTCTCCGGCGTGCACTCGACTCGTTTGTGGCCGAGCGCTCGGTTACGCCGGAACTGCAGCGGTAACCGACACGTTAACGACATGGATCAGGTGAACACACGGACAAACGAGACATACAGTACGAGCGAAATATACAAGATGAGCGTATTCAGAGCGGAAGAAAGAGTTTAAAATGTTGGGGCGGTTTCTATCCTCGTTGCCTCCGACGCAATAAGATATATCAGTGTGTATATATCTATTTACAACATAGCAATCAGCCCGCACACCTGTTGGACTGTGTGGTGTGCAGGAGTACATGAAATTGCAGTATGCATAGGTACTGTATAGAGCGGTACAGGCGACACGCAACAATCCTATAAGCGTAACAACGGCCGCTCACTGGCAACACTATATGTATGATCACATTGAGGCTTCGTTACAAGGAGATCTCGAACGTCTTAAAAAGCGTCATACCATGGCGACTATAGGTCCGCGTAATAAAAACACAAAATAAAGATTTGAAAACATGGATTTTTAAAATTAATTTCTTTTTTTTTTATGAATTGAAACCAAAATTTCCGACTGCTTATTGCGTTAGCTGTCTCAATTGTTTATTGTTAGATTTTTTCTCTAAATAACTTAAATACCCTATTATTGCGCGTAGGCGTTTAGTTATCGTTTTACAAACCAGCTAAAATTCAATCGCGACAAAATCGATCGATCTCTCCCCGGACTTTGGTTGTGACTGAAATCGGTGTCATTTCACGGGTAATAAATTCATAAATCATCTATTCCACATATTGCACGGGTGAAATGGCACTGTATTATTGCACATATATAATCTTCAGACAGATCAATCAACATGTGCCCGCCACAGCGGGGTCGAGCGGTTGCATAATCGCTACTTAGATAATCGAGAGAAACTGTATCACACGAACTGGCCGGAGTTAAAATAACATACATTATTACATCAAATAGTTAGGATAACCTCATGCATTTACAAAAACACTAAAAACTATTCAGCGTGTCCAGAAATAAAATCAGAAATAGAAGCGGCGGACGAATCAAAGGGAAACCGATAATGTACACACAGATATGTTTCTTAATAAATTTTAAACATCTGACGATGATTAGTTACACACATTTCCACCACTGGTAAGTATCGAGTGCGTCGTTAGGTAAATATCACGTTATAGTATCTGTTAGTTTTATTGTAAGAAAAATATAATCTGTATATATGCCGTTGCACAGTACCGAGCCACCGCCACGCGCCGTCCAACGAATAACGTTACCTCGAAGGCTGTACGACGAGTTGGAGCTCTCTCCGTAATCATATCTCAATATGTAGCTAACTTTACAAATTATTAGACAGTTTGCTCAGCACTTTCAAAATATTAATTATTTAAGAAATCAAAACTGTATTATGAGACCGAGACCGAGTACATCACTATTAGTGCAGATAAAACAAAATTTCACAACGCAAACTTTGCATTGGCTATCGACTCGTATTCGATTGGCGAATCATTAAATCATTCGAAATTTTCATATAAATTAAATTTTGTTAAAATTATACTTAATTATTTTAAGTAAAATTATATTATCAATAAAGTAAAAAAAAAAATATGAATTTGATCGCAGAACAGTGTTATGTTTCGCTACGTAGAGAGGACCGGGAGCAGCGCCGACAGTAAACATTCGGTTTTTTTTTTTAATAACCCCGTCAAAGTAAAGAAATGTCAGAAACGATTCTGCACATATTCAACACAGAAGGACGCTTTAGATTACAGAGAAAGAGCGACGGGGTCTCCGTTTTTCTGAGCTCGAGTCAAATACAATTTATAGGGACCGGCGGGCCTCCGCGGGACCACATCGGATTCAATAAAAACACATTCGACGTACAATTCTGTATTGAACACGTTGAGTGTACTCGATTTGATGGGCCTATAAAGTATTGAACGTCAAGTGCATAGATTTCGCTGGTAACCAAATGGAAGCCGACGTGGTAACCGGGATGATTGCGGGATCGTATTCGAGAGTCGATACTGTTCATCGACCGCGGAAAGATATAAGGGTCATACTGCCAGTTGCACAAACGTCCATTAAAATGTTCATTATTTTAAAGCGGCATTACCCGTACAAATTTGACATTCATTAAAGCTTAAAGACGTCATTAAACCTTAATGGACGTTTGTGCAACTTACCGATAGAGCACGATAACGGCGCGGCTCCAGCTCGTCATATAAATACTATTAAATCGTACGTCATAAGCTCGGAAGTCGACAGCTGCCATAGACACGTTTATGCTGACGTCACGAAGTATATTATATTCTATCGTCAGTCTAATTATCAAAACGTTCGAGTGAACTTAATAGGAGCACGGAAAAACTAATTATTTTTACTATGCACGAGAGTTTCAACAGGGTAGGGTAAAATAATAAGTAACTAGATTCATTATTGCCCTATAGTAATAGGGTATTCTATTTTGTTTGACATAATACTCGTAACTGTTTATTTTAAGGAAAATAAGAAAAGTTTTCCTGTCTTAAAATTATGTCAATAAAAGAAGCACAATGCCATCTAACGATCGATTTGGAAATATAAACGAATAAATAAGCTAAGAACAGCGTCATCTAGTAATTCGTTTTACAATTTTTAAGCATATCTTTATGACTAATGACAGCTGTCGCCCCAGTGACGTCACATAATAGCGGGTCGTGTTTCAAGTCATATGGACACACGGACAAAAAAATCCTCGAAGATTACCCTATTGCCGTTCATAGTAAAAACAAATAGCTGTTACGTGGTCTCGTGAAGTTAATTCAACCGGAAAGCTACGCACTTCGATAGCGGCCGTCGACACGACATACGATTCAATACACCGTTCCTAGTGGTGCCGGGGCTGGGGCGGCAGGCGGGTGGGGCGGGCGGGGCTGCTAGGGCTGCTGGGGCGGCTGGGCGTGGCGCGGCCCCCACAGGCGCAGCGAGTAGTCGTCGGAGGCGGACACGAGCACGTCGTGGTGCACCGGGTTCCACGAGACCGCGTTCACGCAGCGCGTGTGGCCCGACATCACCGCTATCGGCTCCTCGCCGTTTATGTGCCAGATGTACACCTGCACACCGGATACACGGCATATAGTAGTACTAAAATGTACACCTATAAAGCTGAAGGGAAATTATTCTCAGAAACTAATTTAAATACTTGTCGGCGCATCGATTGTACCACGATTATTCGATATTGATTCCTAAACGAGAGTGAATTATTATTCACTCTGGCGAAACGTTAGACGGTCGGCCATTATGTCGTGATTGTTTGATTAGAGGCGATATAGGTCGGACGTCATCGACGAAGGGCGTGATCATCGATATTTTTAATTTTATTAGAATGGTAACACTGACTTTGACAGTTCGTTGACAAAAGCGGGTTGCTGCCATTTTAGTAGACATTCTGTTTCCGATCGTCGAGGAGTAAAGACATCCGACGACATCGCGCTGATCTCATTATATTTTCGTATGAAAAGTGATAAAATGGAATAAGTCCACATTGTTATAGACTCCTGCAGTGTTGTTTTAAAGATATTCCCCCGATATGGACGATCTATTTGGACTTCGTAATTGCCTCCTGAGACTACCCGCCGACATATTAAAAAAAAAAAACAATATACAGGGTTATTTTTTTAGAAAAATATTGATAACCTCGATTTAATAACGACTACGATCAGATAAACGGCAATACTCATTTTATGTTTATTATTTAGTCAAATACAATAATATCACACGGACGTCAACAACAAAAAATGAGATAATAAATATTTCTTGTTCGAAGTATCGAATTATGATGAAAGTCGGAGAAAGAACGTCATCATTTATAACAAAAAGTATATAAGCATAGGTTTAAAGAACAGATCAGACTGAGACACGAACGATTCTGTAGTATTATTATTAAAAAAATGTAGGTATGTAATTTAAACAGCAAACAGCAGGAACGTAACAGATACTGATAGGGGTGTAAACAACTTTTTCATATTTTTATTTTATCGATACATACATGAAATATATTTAAAAATAAACTAAATATTCAAACTTTCGGTGTGAATAAATCGAGCGTGTAGGCGTGTATGGGTGTGTATGGGTAGTGTAGACGTGTAGATGTGGCGTGCACCTTGTTGTCCTCGCTGCCGGAGGCGATGAAGTCCTGGTGCGCGCCCCCGAAGGCGGCGTGGATGGTGAAGTGCCCCTGCGAGAGGCCGCGGAACCGGCGCACGAGCGAGCGCGCGCGCGGGTCCCACAGGTGCACGCCCTGGTTGGCCACGTTCAGCAGCACCAGCGTGTCCGCCGCGTTCATGCTCATCGCCATCACCGCGTGCTCCTCCTGCAGTCTATACACCCCGTGCACCCCGCGCATTGTATACTACGAACTCTTAGTTTCCTCGTTTTGTAACATATCGTCGGGCGAGTGCGAGTGTGCGTGTGTGTGTATACTGACACGTTCCGGTCGGTGAGGTCGCCGAAGTCGTACGCGCGCACGCGGTAGTGCGTGTCGGCCGCGAGCACGGTGCGCCCGTCGCTGCGGCACGCCAGCGCGTTCACGCGCACGCCGTCCCAGCTGTTCAGCAGCGCGCCCTGCGCATAGATGCACACGCGCGTTACTAGATGGCGTTGTGCGCTAATCAATCGCACTAACACTATTATCGTTACGGTATACATATATCGGGGCGGCAAGAAAGGGGGAGCTGTTCTACAACTTTTCGGTAATGCCTCGAATACCCCGGGTGGCCGAGGAAACACCTAGAATGTTTTAGGTCCTAACCTAAAATAAGATGTGGTATCGGTTCATTGTAAATACGCGACGGACGAGCTTTATCGGCATTCTTCAGTGAACCAGAGATCGGAAGCGAAACTCGAGGCGCTAACTAAAGAGGTGGACGATCTAATGGTGTTCTTGAAGTATTATTAATGAAGTTGAAGTGTGAATTTTGTAAATTAATTGTTTTAAATAAAGTCGAATTGGAAACTATAATTGGTGTTGATTTTTATCCCGAACCCTAATTCGTAACAATAGAAAGTATAGACAGCATAAAATGCGAGATGAATTATTTACTAATTATTGATATATTTATGGCTTTTTATTTTATTACGAAAATTTTCAAAAAGGCAATTCCTATGTTAATATTGACTTATATAAAAAAAAATCGCCAGTAGTAATTATGTAATAAATATAAAATCAAGTATCGCTTATTGTGGAATCATTTCCACAACAGCGTTCGGTATTAAGTCGGCCGGCGTTTATTTGCCAACGGTACGCTGTTGTTGTGTGTACTAACGTCCAGACTGCAGTGGTAGAACTGTCCCCTTGCGCCGCCGCACACGAACTTGTCCCCGCTGGCGTGCCACGCCACCGCCGTCAGCGAGTCCTCCTGCGAGTGGGACATCTTCAGGTGCAGGCTCTCCGTCTGAACGGGACACCGACGTTTACATTATACATATATCAATAAATGAGACTCATATAGATCGATTAGATTACACACATATTTGATAAAAATAACAATCCGAAACTTTATGTTTGACCGTTACTTTACATTGAAAATAAAATGCATATTTGTTTTCATTTCAGTTTTAAGTGTATTTTGATAAAAAAGAAATTTGTCTTTTAATTCTATTTATAAAGAGGAAAAGTTTAAATAATTGTTTTTATTAAATGTTGAATGGATTTTCAAAAAAATTAATTTCACAGATATTAAACAACATTATTACAGAGTTAATAGCTGTAGGTATTTAAAAACTTATAAAGCAACACTTGATTGGCTGTGTCAGATAAATTTGTTATAAAATAAAAGAAAGACAGTACTAAATTCCAGCCAATTTCAACTAATGTGGCACACGATGCATCTTCGTTTGTGGAAAGCTAATCTATCAAATCCAACGACGAATGCCCTATTAAAACGTATAGTGAGTCTTGTTTCAATAGCCTTAAGGCGTAAAATACAACGCATCTGGCGTCCGTCTCACTCGCGAATCAAATACATGTATTTTGGTGGATCCCCAGATAGATGGCGTGATACTTGAATTGTGATCGGCCGACATTCGATATTTATTTTTCACGATTCGACGCAGACACATCGGTGGGCCACATCACTCGTGTGTTAGTGTACTCATCCACACAGTACATCACCTGCATGTTCCATATCCAAAGATCGGGACAGTCCTCTGGGCCGGCACAGAGCAGGTACCGTCCGTCGGGGCTCCAGCTCACGAACGACACTCCATACGAGTGGCCTTCCAAGGATTTCCTGTAAAAACGTTGATGACATCATTTTTTTTTGATATACATTACACATTTCATTGTACACAGTATTCATCGTTCAAAGTTTTAACATATTCAATTATGCTCGGGATACACTAGATTATTTTATCAAGACAGAATAGCGAGCTATAACTCGTAAACTATAAAGCTAGGGTCTCCGTCTTCGTGTATATATTTGAAATCATTCAGGATTGAGTAAAGCGAAGACAAATAAAAGTGTGGTGCGTTACCTGAAGGAGAGTCGTTTGGCGACGGGGTCGTAGTCCCATATCATGACCGTGTTGTCTTTGGAGCCGGACGCCAACTTGGAGCCGTCCGGCGACCACTTGCAGTACCACACCTCATCGCAGTGCTCGTTTAGAACCTGACGTTGTACAATCGTTCGTTATGTAACACCGGGACATCGATACCACAATTGGCTACTCGACGGTAACTTATATGTAAACAGACAATAACTATGCAGTTTATGTTTATACTAATATTGTATAGAGGAAATATCTGATTGCATGTCTGTTTGCATCGAATAGTTTTGGAACTAATGGACCAATTTTAAAACTTCTTTCATCTACAGGTAGCTATATCATATAGGATTAACAAATGCTATAATTTATGCAAGCGAAGGCGCTGGAGTGCAGCTTGTTTTATTGTAAACTGAAAGTATATTTATTTTTTCAAAATTAAGAATTTGTAGATTATAAGAACCGTAACGCGGACGGCCATTCGTGACGTCACATTTCTAATAAATTAAAAATGAATGACTTTGTTGCGAGTGTGTGTCATACATTAACAAAAGAAAGTGTATATTATGCGACAGAGGCTCAAATAGTGCTTAATTTTAGCGATATGAAGTTTAATGTGACACGAACGGTCGGGGAGGATACAGGATAGAACTGACCTGCAACGAGTGAATGGGGAACCGGTCGGCGGAGCAGTGGTGGTCCGCCAGCAGCGTGAAGGGCACGTGGTCGGGGCGGGGCTCCCCGCGGGGCTCCGCGTGGAAGCGGCAACGCGCCGCCTGCGTCACACGGGGAATGTCAGTCGGCGAGCTATAGGCGTATAGGTGTATAGGGCGTATAGAGCGTACAGGGCGTACCTGGTGCGCGGCGGCCTGCGCCAGCAGCGCGCGCAGGCGCGCGGGCGGCATCATGAGGCGCGGCGGCAGCGCCTGCTGCACCTGCAGCAGCACCTGCTGGCGGCTGGCGGGCCCGGGCCAGGCGGCGCGCGCGCGCAGCTCGGCGGCGTCGGCGCACATCATGAGCGCGGACAGGCGGTGCACGCGCGCGGTGTCGTGCTGCAGCGGCGTGAGCTCGTTGCGCAGCACGTGCAGCGCGTCCAGCGCGCGCCCCGCCTCCAGGTGCTCCAGGTACTTCTGCTCCAGCACCGCGAACTTCATCTCCTGCACCACCGAACGCGACGCGCGTCTTAGCACTACCTCATTCCAGTTTATCGAAATCGATCCATCTATCCCGGTCTAAAAACTGAGCGTGAAACCAGACGTAAACCTCCGTCCGATTTCACGTATTCCCTTCGTATTTTGAAATTAAAGCCTGACGAGTGTCTCGATCGACTCACCGCGAGATTGTGGGGTTCGAGGCTCGAGGAGTCGCGCAGCAGGTCGTGCAGCGCGCGCAGGTCGTGGTCGGCCTTCACCCAGTCCCCCGCGAGCACGTGCTGACGGAACGTCGCCGCCGCAGGGTGCTCCAGGTGAAGGCCCGACTCCTCCATCAGCGACGCTGCGCTCCGCCTTTAATAGGAATCGAGTGCCGGTTCATAAGTTTGAACGTTCGATCTAGTATTATTAACTATCGCCAACAGAATATAGATATCCCGGGGCCCGGGACATTTCTTCCCATGTCAATCGCATAGCGTGAAAGGACTGTACATACTTTAATTAGCGCGGATTAGTAAATGACAAGGTGAACGCAAATCGATCAGAATGAAACGCGCCAGAGGCAAAAGAGAGTATATAAATGAAGAGAGCAATTTTGTATATAATAGTTTTTCTAATCCGCCATTTGCGATGTGTGTTGAAACATCGCTTCGTCTGCTGCTTCCAGCCTTTATTCGCACATATCATTGACGGGCCGGGGCCAGTGATGACGCAGTACCGACACTACTTCAGTAACTTCAACTTTAATTCACACAGTGTTTAGGCATGCAACAAAAGGCATAAACATTTATATAAAATGAGGTTGTTTCGATGTAATTAAGAAAATCAAGAATAGAGGTAATATTAAATACAAAGAATTATCAAAAAACAATAAAATAGTTTCCTACAGTGTATGTCGGAGATCCGACGAAATTTCGTAATTTGTCTGACGACCACCCTATACGTAAGTTGGTAAATTTATATTCTACTATATTTTTAATTAATATTACATTTTTAACATTAAACATATATGCATCCGATAAGAAACTACTTATTTTCATTTCCTCAATGCTCTTGATATATTATCGAAAAATAAATCCGATGGGTCGTGCGTATGAGCGACCACTGAACAGTCGTAATTGTAACACAAAGCATTATCGCACGCACTATAAGCAACAACTGTAATGTAATATACAAATATTACATATTACAATACGAAATATGTAGAAGACAAAGACGATATAAAAGAAAGCAGATTTTCTATTTAGCAGCTAGCCAGGTGCCCCGATCATATCTCTATCTCTAGTGACATTTTAAATCCTCAGATCGTGTGACATACTCGAAGTCGTGGAGCTCGATATGTTATTAAAAAAAGAACATAATTTATTAATATTTTTAATGTAACAAGTGATATTATTCCTCATTTCATGCATTTGTTATTGTATACTAATGCAAAAACGATTTGTCAATCGACGGCGTGGGTGACATTGTCTTCGAGGCCAATGCACAGGGAAGCATACGAACTGTGTGTGTGTGTGTGTGCCGCAAGCAAGTGTCTTTCATTCAACACGCACGCTACTCCTACTCAAATAAGAGCACGCGTGACAATAACAATAGGGAACAGATATAAAATCATATCACATGTAAATACATGATATCTCACGTTAATCTGTACTAATATTACAAAGAGGAAAATTTTCATCGTTTGTTTGTTTGCATCGAACAGGTTCCGAAAGTACTGGACCGATTAAAAAAAATCGTTAGCCTATGGGAAGCTGCATTATAATATATGCGGGCGAAGTCGCGGGTCAACAGTTAGTCACTTTCAAAACTACGCCTTACTACCTATACAATATTTAGGTCATATAGACCTCACTAATTAGATAATACACAAACTAGTGGCCGTCCACGACTTCGTCCGCGTGGAAGTCGGTGTCCCGCAACCCTTATCACTAAAGTGCCCTATAAACGATCAAACTGCTTGTCAAACTTTACGTGCTTGACAAACTTTTTGATAGTGTGCAGCTACGCTTGATGCGCTTGTCAAACAATCTACGTGTTTGACGTGTTTGAAGAAAATCTAGATTGAAGTCGTGCTTGACAAACAAGTTTGTATGTGAACGGTGGTGTTTGTCAAGCAGGATGTCAGTCGTTGTGTAGCATCGTGGAAGACGGTAGGTACGCCAAATAAAAAAAAATACAATGGAAAGTGATGAGATGATATTATTACGGATAAAGAATTTACCTTGCATTTCATATCTATTTATCATGATATGCTGAATCTATGGAAAGTAAAATCTAAAGATTATATGGACAAGAACATGAGAAGCATAGCATTAAAAAAAATTACTAATTTGCTGAAAATGTATCGCCGGAAAATTACGGATGAAAAGTAAACCGAAACTAAACAAATTTGTTTGATCATTGGCTTGATCGTATGCGCTGTTAATTGATGAAAACGTAAAGTTTGACGAGCAAATTTGTCAAGCAAATTTGATCGTTTACAGGGGGCTTAAGGCGTATGAAAAATAGATGTTGGCCGATTCTCAGACCTACCCAATATGCTCACTAAATTTCATAAGAAACAGTCAAACCGTTTTGGTACGGGAAAGGGGTACGGGAATGAAAATTGTGACACGAGAATTTTATATAATATAGTGGTAATAATACTTCCAAAACAATATTGAAACTCTAGGCAACGCTTTCAATTCTATATACAGAAATAGGCAAGTATGGAAGATTATGACAAAAATAGAAACACTTATTATTATAATGTCAGACACAGTTGCGGTAAGGAATGAACTGTGGTTGGTGATAGCATTGAAGAAAGAATAATAATTTATTTATTGACAACTGTTGTGGCCACAAATAAATGAAAAATAAAGTCCACTTTGTACCATTACAACTGAAATACCTCAAAATAATTATTTAACAAAATTGGTAGGTACATAATATTAAAAATAACCATGTGCTTTATCAAAATTGATAAATGACATTGTAATACTTACCCAACCTGCACTGGTGTTGATATTTCTATCTTACTTTTAATTATGCAATTCCAAGCAAGACTTAAGTAACTTTGAACTTTGGATGGACACCATCACTTGTTATTTATGATGTTTCACAGAAAATAAGATACTTATAAGAAAAGATACAAAAATATAATTATATACATATAATTTAGTATATTTGCAAATAAAATATTACTTATTTCAAGACACAAATTTCTACCCCCAGAATTTATCATTTTGATTTTATAGAAAAACATCTTCTTTTCAAAATTAAAATAATAATATATTAGAAGGACAGAGAACTGATAATTATACCCGCATTTACTGTGAACATCTCTATCTCATGGAAGTAAACAATCAGGATCATTTATGACTATTGCTAGTGTAAATATTGCACAATATACAACACCAACATATTGTCAAACCACTTAACATAAACAGAAAATCAATATACCACATGCTTGTCCTCACATTATAATAACAAGTTAAACAATAATAGCACTTTCACATTAGTTCACCTAAAAATAAACAATGAAATGCAACTCATCAGTGACACATTCCATATTTTCTATGTTTGATACGAGCAGACATTAATCAAGGAATAAAACAGGTGTTGTTTTGTCAGACTTATTAGAGTGAATAAGGAGTCAGGAACAATGTCGGTCAGTATATAAGCTACTCACTCGAGTCCAACAGACATGAGGTGCTGCCCGATGAGCCGCACGATCTCCTGGTCAGTCTGGCTCATACGCAGGCCAGGTGGCTGCACGTCGCCATTGCTAGCTGGAGCGTCCCCGTTGATATGAAGGGGTGGCGCTCCATTGGCGCACGGCTGGTGCGGCTGATGCATTGCCGCGGGCTGGGCGGGCGGCGACAGCCTGCGGGTCCGCTTGCGCGGCGGCCGGTGGCCTGCGCCCTCGTCCCCCGACCCTGAGTCAGTGGAGGCCAGGCTGGCCCGCTCCGCTCCGCGTCCTCGCCGCGCTCCCCGGAGCGCCGAGATCACGAGCTCGCCCGCCGCATCGGCCTCGTCGCTGCGGCCTCGTGACGTCACGGCCGCCCGCTACGCACCGTCCGCGCTCAATGGACCATCTCCCTTTGTTCGTCGCAGCAGAATGATGCTTCTCCGTTGTTCTCTTCGAACGTTTCGTTGTCCTCGATTGCACTGTTTCCACGCGTTCCTGTGAATTGTGCCGTCACGATAAGCTTCGATAATTGGTTAATTTTGCTGTGTTCGCTGGCGTACACAAAAATCAGCTGAATATGAAACGACAGCAGCTGTCTTTCTTCGCTAATGCAACATCGCCCTTCTTTCCGTTTCGTTTCGGGTGACGTTCGTTCGGTCCCGTTCGGTCGCGCATCGGGCAGAATCGTATTCGTGTTGAATGACCTCAAAAAACTCAAAAATAAAAATATTGCATTGCACGCATTGCGTAAAACCACTTTTATATTTTATAAATAAACACTTAAATATTTTATAATATTTATGAGTAAAAGAAAAATGATGAACAATTTAAACAAAAGTAACACATTTAAAACATCTCATAGCTCCTGAAAATTTAGTTTTTTCTTTTGTTATTAAAATTAGCCTTTACATGTTTTATGTATAGGCTAATTACCTACATGGTACAAATTAAAAAATAATAATGATTAATCCCAACATTATAAATTCGTATTTTTAGTGTAAACAAAAAATGTGAAATGGAACGTTACATGGAACATTTACAAAGCATGCAGTGAGTGACACATCCAAAGATTAGGTATAAACATCAATTTGTCATGAGCATAGAATAATAATAAAGTGAAAAGTTGTATTGTGATTTTGTAAATGGAAATATTTGTTTTTTCCTTTTACAATATATTGTAAAAATCATAAAATCATGACGAGAACTTTTTTTTGTTAGATCACATTCAAAATATAAGCTGTAATATGTCATTACTATGATTATTAAAACAAGCGAGCTTTCTAAACATATTTCATTAAAAGAATGTTGTGAAAATAGTCCGCTTTACTTTTATACTTTAATATAAAAATGGAATTGGTATGGCATTTAACATTCTTATATTTATTGGTGCGACCTACAAATTTACAATTACTAATAAATGTAAAAAACCAGGTAAATAAAAAATTGGGGAGAATGGGCTTGCATTGGTATCTATAATATTTATAAAAAAACTCTTATTGTGCTTCTTATAAAATTGTTAATAAAGCTGCTATGAAGAAAAAACGGAAAAGACTCACTGTAATCCTATTGGATTGAATGAAGGGAACAATTCCTATATGATGACTCCTTTATTTGCAGTATTAAAAATCCATTTATAATTGAAATCAAAATCATTAATTTTAGTAGAATATAAAAAAACAATCTCAAGCATGTTTATTTTTTATTGTACTTTGAACCTGCATAAAAAAATTGTAATTAATTAAAAATAAGCATTTCTCAATGTTGTTTCTAATTTATTCACAGGGTGGTGATGTTATGCAAGAGAACATAACAGCGAATGTATCTGAGGACACTATTATACTGGAATTTTTAAGATTGGATGGTGTTTTCATATCTCAGCTTGTGGATTTTACAAATGTAAGTATTTTTATGATAAAGGAAATTAAACATTACATGGGATGGTCAATGACTAAATTTAATTTATTGTTGTTTTTCTGTTTAGTACTTTTGAGTATTATCTTGTTCGTAACACATACATGGCAGAGATACTTACTTTTATACAGAACTAGCTGTTGTATTAATCTATACTAGCATTATGAATGAGAATGTGAAAGCTGTATTACTGCACATATTTAATAAAATTTTCTTACTATTCCAAACATATATATAGTCAAAAAATGTATTCCAAACATACATTTTTTGACTATATATATATGGATACCATATGTATGAAATCAAACAGAACTTGGTATACTATATATGTAAGTGAATTGTTTGTTTGTATAGGAGGTGGAAGCTATGAAAGTGATAATTCCAGCAGAAGAGGAGTTAGGTCAGTCAGGCCACCAGACATTATGCTTCCTGACTCATGGAGCACAGGCTGATTTTATAGCACCTGATGCCATGGCTAAACTTAGACAAGTAAATTTGATCTCATTTTTATTTTGTCTTTTCTTTAATGATCCATGTCAGACTAACAATATTTTAAGATGAGGACATTCATTGTCGATGATTAATAAGGAAGGCTACATTACAGTAAGCCATCAGGAGTCCATTTGATTCTCTGTCCTAAGATATTTTCGTTCTTACATGAAAACAAAGTATCAGAAAAATTAAAAAATCTGCCAGACCTTACTTACTGTCAGCAATACTTCTGATATGAATTCCTAATTCCTGTTGTTTTGTAAAAGGATAATGCCCTATATATGAAGGGTATTTACAGTACTTAAACATGTGAAAGAATTCAAAACTCATAGAATCAATGTTCATAGAAATATAACATAGGTGTCTGAAGTTTAATTCTGTTATTACTAAGCTTGTATTTTTAACTATCCTTTTATTTGTCACATGAATTTTGCAATCCTGTCGACACCATTTATAGATTATAGGATTGTATTTGATTAGATCAAGTGTGTTATCTTGCTTGCCAAACTACTTTTACTTGGCATTCGTTATTACTTTTTCAGCTGTTCTTATTTTAAAAACAGATGTCAGGCAGTCATTCTATATGGTTTTTCATCCTTACAAGGAGGCTTACTATCTACGGTGCCTCAGGGATCATCGTTGGGTTCTTTATTATTTATGATTTACCTCTATATTTTAAATAGAAAATTCATGAAATGTCATACAACGGCCCAACCGTAAATAGTGATCTATATTGTTTAAACGTTTAGAAAAATCCGGGTACGGTACGTGTGGCGGAGGAGGACAAGGGATGGCGGCAGACTACCTTGACGGCGTGGGCGGGTCGCGTCACGCGGCTGCTGTCGCCGGCCGCCGCGCGCCACTGCCGCGCCGCCAACGATCACGTGTACCTCCGCACCGCCGACCTCGCGCGCTGGCCGCCTAGACCAGGTCTCTATATTTTGATTAATACTCCTTACATTCCATAGTAACAATAACCATCACAGAATGGAAAAGCTACCCTCTGACCTGGAGACATTTTCCATCTGCTGATGGAGCATAAAAAACATTCCTAGACTTCTGACGTGCAAAAATTCGATTTCCGCTTTTTTCTCTCCATCAAAATATGGAAAAAAGTATTAACCAAGATATGATAAGCCATTTATGTTATCTTGAAGCATAAGCAGAGTGTTCAGAAAAAAGAACACCCTCCCCGCCCCTTCTTTGTTTTTAATCAACACTGATTTCGCGAAATTGAAAACCGTTAGGAAAATTACACGCTTTTTGTGTTATTAAATCTAGAAGCGTATGAAATGACCTATCGATTCATAATAAAATCTTATCATAAGCGATTATCGTATTCTGTGTATGAAGAAAAACCTCAAAATTGTTTCAACTGCCGATCTCCTATAAAGCCCGTAAATCGTAGCTTTTTAATTTTTTGTTTTGAAAGGAGATTGCGCATCGAAGCATAAATTAGTTTTAACATTATATTACGATTTATATTCATGTAACTCAATGAATCGAATGTAAATCAATGAATGGCGAAATTTTAGGTATGTCTTATTTTTCCGGATTCGTAAGAAATAGGATTACAAAGTTCATCGAGTTAGGTTATTTTTAAAACACAAAGGACCAATAAAGGTGTCTTAAGTGCGTAAAATTGGAGCCTCGCTTCTAACCTTATTTTCTCATATAAGTAAATGCCTCTCTGAAAAAACAAAACGCACATCTAAATGTATGAATAGATGATGTACTTAGATAAAGTAATTTTGCTGGTTAAGTCAGATGTTAATTTAATACAATAGGCATGGAGCAGTCATATTCATCGGCGGTGACCGCGTTCCCCGAGCGAGCACTGCCGGCGGAGGGCGAGGGCCAACTTGCAATCAGCACATGCGCTAACACAACCGACGATACAGACTGTATATGCCACTTGGAGGTATGTGGGTGGACATGTTTCTTTAACATTATGAAAGCTGGGTCAAACTTAATATCTTTACAGAACCATAAAAATATCAACTAAATAACCATTTCAACGTTTTCCATCTAGGTTTGCGTCAATTGGTACCCGTGCGGTCTAAAATACTGCAAGGGCAAACCGCAAGGTGGTCTGAGTTACCGGTGCGGCATCAAGACGTGCCGCCGCTGTTACCGGTACCACTTCTACGTGCAGCGGCGCGCCTCCTGCGCCGGCCTCTCGTGACCCTGCGCCCGGCGCCTGCGCCATGCCCTATTGTGCCAAACCCACCCACTCTATCTAACTCTAAGCATAGCTTTAACATATTTTTGTAAACATTATCTTGTAAGTTCTGACAATACTATTATATTTATTCTTGTAAATATTGTGATGTGTTACACATATATTATAAAGAGGAAATAAAGATTTTCTAAAGTACTTTTATCTGAAGTCTTCTGACCTCGCAAAATTATTTATAAATTTTTGTTGTACGAAGTATAGACTAGCTGATCTGGCAAACATTGTTTTGTGATATAAATTTGGGGTGGATCACATCTACCACTTATGGGTCTAAAAAATAGATAACCTATTCTGCACTCTAATGATTTCTTTTTTCGGCTCTCAACCTTAGGGGTTCGGTACCACCTTCCCAAAGAGAGAAGGAGGTGGTTAATCCATCATTGGATACCTCACAGCCAGCTGTGAGGTTATGTCAAACTCCTTCCTGATTAAACACCGACTTGACCGATAGGCACGAAGTAGCTCGAGATAATAATTTTTTGGTCACCCATCCTGTGACCAACCCTTGCAAAAGATGCTTAACAACAACGATCGCAGGCCTCGATGCTTATCCTGCTTGCCACTGAGCTACTCAATGAACATAATCATCATGAATAATATAACAGTTAATAAAAATCAGCAATGTGGAAGTTAATTAATATTTTAAATCCAAAAAGTAGTTTGTGTATTGTTTTTAATTTTGATTACATTATGGAGTTTTTGATACACTTGATAAGTGCAATACAAAATCTTATTTTTTTAATAATTATCAATAGTATTTATTGCTTTACTACAAACTAATTAATCAAATATTAGTAACATCCAGGGAAAGGCTCATGTCTGTTTTTTCGAAGTACAAATTTTATTTTCCTTTCCATGTCTTCATTATATATAGCTTTGCATCTTTCATGATTGATTCGTCTTCTGGTCTGCAACAAATAAAAAAAAATCAAGTAGAAGATAAAATATGTGGTCTGCTAACAAAGCTACTTAACATAGCCTCAGGCCCATGTTTACCCCAGGTGCAATGCACCCGGGCACCGCGCCGATAATGGTCTAATATAAATATGTGTAAAAAGTGGGCTGAGAACGCCAGAGCACTACTTGCACCCGGGCGCCTGTTGTGCTTAAGATGGGCTTGCATAGTCTCAAACAATATACTGCACTACAGCCACATAATTTTCACATACCTAAATATATTTGGAATAGGAAATTATAGGTAAATTATGCAGGCTAAGTTTGTAATAAGAACAAATACTTGAGTAAAAATTTATAGTTGTTTAACCATATATTTGATTTAACTGTTACCTTAAAAGGTTTCTCGTAGTATTGATTCAATCTGTATCGTTCTAAAATTCCTTCCTTCCCGAGGATTCTGTTAATCAATCTACAAGCATCGTCTACATTCTTGTTTTGTACAAATACTGTTCGTGCTATAAATTGAGGATGTCTATTCGCTAGTAATCTTGCTGTTATAAACATAACGTTAAGTTAATTATAGTTGTTAATAAAGGAAAGGACGAACATCAAAGAGTTAAAGTGTATATTACGGAAAGTCAATTATATAAACAAAATTGCGAAGTTAAGGGAGTTTTTTTTTTATTCTCCTTCTTCCATTTGCTACAAAATGGAAAGGCAAAGGCACTTTACAGCCAGGGAGTTTTTTTTTTAATTAAGTTATTGGTTATGGAAATTTATGTTCATTCATATTCATTCCTAAGGATGCATGCAACGTTACAAATCGATAAGTCAACGCGCTAAATATCGATATCGAATAATACTAACATAACGAAACTTAGTATCGAATACAGTTCATATCAGTAACCAAATTTTAATATCCAACGTGTGCTCACATGTGACATTTTTGACCAACAGTTTTCACCCTAACTCTTACAATAAAAGTAATTAAAATAACTAAATCTTATTCATTGCAAAACAATGAGTTACTATTTGAAAAAAAAAAGTAATTTTATGTCACTAGATAGCAACACAAATTATAGGATCTAAATGTGAATGAGGAAGTATTTAAAAAATAAAAATTAGTTCTTAAATTCAAACTAGATGTCACTAGCGATTTTCGGATAATTGTCTATGATATTCATTCAAATTTTCTTTCTGATGAAATTAAAGTAAATTGAGTATCGAAATCGAAATTAATAAATACCTATGACATCGTTTCGTGTTTTTTATAATATCTAACTTTCAGATTTAATTTATTTGAATTGTAAATTGAAGTTATTTATTATGTTACGTGTAATGGATCTATATTTAGTTTTTAAGTCAACATTAGTGGTGAACCAACTTATTGGTTGCTTCATTCTAGATTCGGAATGAAGAACAAAAAGCGGAACGCAGAATTCAGCTTGTTTTTTATGTGCGAAAGCGGAAATGTTGTAACTCGAAAATTGGCCTTTATGACTTTTAAGTGTATTGTCGATAAGAAAAAAAAGCCGCGTCGAATGGGCTATGTCTCGTCTTTCTACGATGAAAAAAAATAATGATACGCCGTTGACTTTTTTGTAGATTTTCTGCTGTTTATACGATAAATTGCTGTAAAAAGACGCAAAATCGCAACTTTTGAAAGTAAAATAGATACGACAATAAGTCCAGAATGAGAAATAGTTACAACATTATTTTTTCTATTGCGAATGTAGATTTTTAAGAGGTACAGCATTTCAGCCGCTCAAAAATTTTACGTTGCCAAAGTTACAGCAGTATGGTTCGAACTGGTGTGTGTTTATCGAACAGTTACTACAAATCAAACATTTAATTAATAGCGAAAATCTTTGTTACATCGTAAGAATAGAATATAATTTTGTATACAGTGATCAATACACCATTCTAACCAGACCCGCCTCCTTCCCCCAGCCCGATGTATTCTCTGAGTACACCATTCCGCAGATCGCGCGACAGTTATGCCAGGACGTCGTTTTTTTTTTTTAATTTATTTATTATTCTTGGAAAACCAACAGCTAAATAAACATGATAGATTTCAGCATAAAAAACATTAAGCCAATTATAGGTTTCCACATATAGAAATAGCTTAGATCTAACCAGTAAATTCGCACACAAGCTACACAATCAAATAAGTAATCGTACCTGCGCCATAGATTAACGAGACAGTAAGTATTCTATTAGTTTCCGCTTAAATGAATTAATGTTGCAATCGAAGATGTCTACATCATACCCACACTCATCAAGCATCATATTTAAGCTTACGCTGGCCCTAACAATAAAGCTATTTTGCCTATAATTTGTAGATGACGAGGGGATCGCTATAGGTCGGTAATATCTCTGCGATCTTATCGGGACTGAGAATTTGATGATACGCAACAATTCTGGACAATTTTAAATAGATATACAATGTCGGCTACTGTTCTACGGAGCACTAGTGGCAGTAAATGTTGCTCTTTACATACTTGGAGGTATTCAGATGAATCATATGGTCTATTCATCATATAGCACAGAAACTTTATAAATTTCTTCTGAATGCCTTCAATTCTGTCAATATAAGTGAGTGTAAGCCGAATTTCGCATTATAAACCCAAATAACTTAGCGGCTTTAAGAATAATAGAGTGAATATGAGAATCAAATATAAGCTTGGAATCGTGTATGATACCCAAGTCCCTAATCTCACTCACTTTTTGGAGGTCTTGATTGTTTATAGTGTAAACGTGATTAATAACAATTGACTTTCGCGAAAATGTGACAGAAAAGCACTTAGAAGGGTTAAGGTCCAACTTCTTCTTCATATCATCCGCGAAGCATAGAAGATTTGAGTACTTGAAGCAACTTCCTACGTCATTGACAAATATATTGAAAAGGAGAGGTCCCAGCAATGAGCCTTGGGCTACTCCAGTAGATATAATCACCCAACTAGATACGTGATTGCTTATGACTACTGCTTGAGACCTGTTAACTATGTAGGATGAAAACCATCTCAACAAGTCACCGCTAACACCGATCCGAGCTAGTTTGGCCAGAAGTATGACGTGATCAATTCTATCGAATGCTTTTGAATAGTCAGTATAGATGACGTCTACTTGAGATCCGTCATCCATAGATTTTGATATATATTTGTTAAGTAATATAAGATTAGAAACTGTAGACTTATGACTCATAAACCCATGCTGGTAATTTGCTAGAGAATCTTTTATGGCGTTAAATAATTGAGAGTTAACAATTTTTTCTAATACCTTTGCCACCACACACAAGTTAGAGATAGGCCTATAATTAATGACTTCAGTCCTAGCCCCCTTTTTTAAGACAGGTGTAACAAATGCCTGCTTCCATATATTAGGTACTTTGGATTCAGAAAGAGAACGCTAAAATAACAAAGAAATGGGCTTAGTAATGCTGGGCGCACAATTTACCAAGAATAGAGCTGGAAGATGATCTGGGCCTGCTGATTTACTTATATCAAGATTAGAGAGTAATTTGAATACCACGTCAGTATGAATCACAACACTGGAGATATCAGAAATGACATCAATACCCTCATCAGAGTCGAAACTTAATTAATAAAGAATAGAAAGTATAGCAGACTAATCAGTCTGTTTTTCATGTCATTACATTTTCGTAACTATAATAAAAAAATATAATAAAAGATAAAGTATTTTATTTTTATAACGTCTATAATGACAATTGCATTTAAAACATTGTGTTTTTATTAACAAATTGAATTAAAACTTTATACAGCAAAATAGCCTTGTTTCGCATAGTTCATATTTGAGATACAGCAGATCCATAGCCTGAAAACTAGTATGTATTTTAATTCGTCATACATTTTACTTTGTAGATACAGCATTTCCGCTACTCGATATTAAAACATCAATTGCTGTAACTAGTAAAATATCAATGATATGGTAACTTTAGGATATTCCAATTAATTGTGTTAAATAATGTTTTGATTGATAGAAATATGTTCCAAAGTTCAACTTCCTATCTTTCTTCATTTAGGAGTTATGATTTTTTTAAACAGTTTTATGGCTTTCGTGTAAAACTAGATATTTTGAGATACGACAAAATCGCTTTCTTCCGTCGATATGCGCCCTGACGGGATGCATGAGCACGGCGCCCACGGCAGCTCTGGAGGTAATGTTGAATATTACACCGCTACATATTTATATTAGACAGGAAGCGGCCAAGACAGCGTTGAGACTAAAAAATCATAAACTGGTAAGGTTCGATACCGCTAAACATCTCAATGGCTTACTGAAGGAATGGCTTAACACCCCGCTTGTAGAGGCGGTTTGCGACAGAATCGAATCCACCTTCATCTTTGACAAGAAATACAAGATACATCTTACGGACAGTGACGATCCAAAAGGTAACACACAGGGCCCTCACAGTCTTCACGGACGGCTCCAACACCTCAACAGGCACAGGGGCTGGTGTATTCTCTGAGGACCTCAACATACATCTGTTCCTGCCCCTCGGCCCATACAATACAGTCTTCCAGGCTGAATGTATGGCGATCACCCTGGCGGCGAGAGCGATAACTACAAGGAAGGTAACAGGATCAGAAATCCGGATCTTCTCGGACAGTAAATCAGTCCTACAGGCTCTCAAAGGAAGTTCTGTCCGATCGAGTCTTCTACAGGAGTGTCACCAGGTTCTAAACATGGTAGGGACACACAATATAATTACTATCCAATGGATAAAAGGACACAGTGGATCACGTGGAAATGATGCAGCTGACGAACTGGCACGCAGAGGATCAGATGCAACACCAATGGGCCCGGAACCGATCATTCCTATTCCGGTAAGCTGGTTAATTGGTAGGATACGTGAACACTCGAGTAAACTACATCAACAATACTGGCACACTTTGTAAACCTGCAGGCAGGCCAAACTTGCACTACCCCGAGTGAACGCTCGCCTCTCCAAAGCCCTCCTACAGCTAAGTAAACCATATTTGCGCCTGGTAACGGGTGCTATTACTGGTCATGGCAACTTTAACAGGCACCTTTTCAATCTAGGTGTCACTGACAGCCCCTTGCGCAGAGGATGCATGGAGGCGGAAGAAACAGCCACTCACGTCTTGCTGGAATGCAACGGAGTGGCCAACTACCGGGCAAAGTACCTCGGCTCGCCGGGCAACCTCCAAGAGGCCATCGCAGATGTGAAGGCGCTCGGGGCGTTCCTGGCAGAGCTGGGCTGGCTGGAGTAGTGTCCAGCCACACACCCTCCACACGCAAAATAGGCGCAATTTGGTCGTCGAGTTGCGGAGACGCCCGTTGATTCTAGGCTATTACATACTACTTGTAAAAGTCGGAAACTATGCCAACGGTTCGCTAAACTATGGTGGTAAACCATGTACTGAGAAGAACCGGCAAGAAACTCATAAGGGCTGCTTTTTTCTTCCTCCTTTATTTCACACAGAGAAGTCTTATTGGGACGAGAGTTAATTAGACTATGAAGTCGCTTGCCATTACAATATCATAAATAACAAGACAGATGTTTTTCGTTTACTGATTAATATGTCGGTTGCCGAGTCATAAATACTCATTGACAAATCAAAATACAATATTCATAATAAAAGAAAATGGACGAAATAAAGTATATGGTCCAGTGCAGACTGATCTCTGAGTGAGATCCACACTGGCAGC